CCTACAGGGCGGGAAGAAATCGGGCACCTCGGCTACCCGCCCGAACCGCGTCCCGCCAGAGGTCAAAAACGGGAGGGCCTGCTACCGGTACCTGCCACGCCAGGCCACGGGAACGGTACCACTAGCCCAGGCCACCTCCCCTTTTGCGAATTATTGAACCGGTAGGCCGTCGAGCGCATACTTCACTGTTTTCCTTGCAGTTTCGAACTTGTCTTCACCCAAACTTGGAGTGGACTGTTATTCCTGCGAATTCGAAACTGTGCAGCAGTCACCCGCGGAGTTGTCTCTTTTTCTTTTCTTTTCTAAGGTTGTGCAGGCTGAGGGATGGGCAGGCCCTACCCTGACAGCCAATGCTATAATCACACTCCCACAACACACCCAAGGCAGAGTGGGCCAACTTTCAAAATCTTGTCTTCGTCTATGCTTGCCGGTAAACTGTACTGCGGTCCCAAGGAATAGATGTGAGAATTGTTCCTGAAAGTGAAAAAAAGAAAAAAAGAAAGATCGAATGCGGGAACGGAATAAAAGAGTCAGCTCATGCAGCTAACAGTGTGGAAGTTGGAGGAGGTGAAGTTGCAAGAGAGGTGAGGAAGAAAGTTCAGCACGGCAGTTGCAGCACAGCAGTACCGGGAGCTACAAGACACCACCATACGAACAGCAGCAGCAAAACATCAGCAGCATCACAACAGTACCAACACTGCAAAAAATAGCAACGACACACCATAAGCGGCTGCAGCATTGTACACCGACCACAACAGTCCCGGATGCTTTCAGCAGCAACACAGCAGCATCACACAGCATCAGAACAGCACGACAACTGCAGCGTAGCAACACCAGAACTGTAACAATAGCTGCATGACACCAGCACAGGACCAGCAGGAGCATCACATCAGCAGCATCAGAGGAATAACAACACTGAAAAGAATAGCAGCAATTCACCATCAAAGGAAGTATAGTACAACGGCAGCAGCAACAACAACAGATGCTTTCAGCTGCAACACAGCCATCACAACGGCATTACAGCAGGATGACAGCTCCAGAAGCGGCGATGTAGCATGGAAGCTGCCCAACACAGATAGTGTGGCAACCAAGGCACACATCAGTGCCACAATCGTGCAGCACTAGCAGCAGCATCGCAGAGCGAAGATCAGTGCAGCGCCAACAACACCGCAGCAGGAGCAGCATCACACTGATCACAGCAGAAACATCACAGCAGAGACATCACAGCGCGACCAATGGCAGAGACAATCCGGCATGGTCTCAGCAGCAGCAGCAGCAGCAGCAGCAGCCGCAGCACCAGCAGCAGGAGTCGACACCGATATACCACGAGTGCCAGCAACATAGAAAACCAAAAAAAGAGCGGGAAAGAGAGGGAGTTTAGCAACATAGAAACCAAAAAAAGAGCGGGAAGGGAGTCGAAGAAAGTCGGAGATCTTCATCATGCCCTCCTCCTCCAGTTTCATCTCATTTCTTCGAAAGACTTTATTCCTCTTTTCCTGCTTGCAGGCTTGTCACCCTTCATGTAAAGAATTCACCCCTCTTCTAAAGAGCCTATCAATGTATTGCATCACCGCCAACAGTTTGTACCAGGAAATGGGTTTCATTAACTCATTTATGGGGCAGGTGGGGAGCACTGGAGCTCGAAAAATTTTTGTATCCACCAGAGGAACAAGGACGTCTGCAGACATAGTCCAGCCATATCATCAGTTATTGACTGCAGTTACTACAAAGTTACATTGACCCTCCTGCTGTTGTTAGTGCGTATGCCCTACCCTAAGAGCTGTTTTTTTTTTCCCTTTTCTTTCCCTTTTTATTCCCTTTTTTATTTTTGTTGGGTTGAAACAAAACAAAACAAAACAAAACAAAACAAAAATAGACTGGGAGCTTTACCCAGCTCCGCTTATGCTTTCATGAAACACCCTCTGCAACTGAGACTCTCAGCCTTTTGGCAGTCTAAACCCACAATGAGAAACTACCCGTAAATGAATACAATGCATACCATAGGGTGCATTCTATTCGAAAACAGGACATGTGCGTTCTATTCGAATAGCCCTACCGTAAACTTCGAATAGAACGTACACGCGTTCTACTCGATGTTTTTGTGAAATTTCGAAAGTCGAATACAACCGCATATGCATTATGTTCGAGGGAACAAACTCGCCTGGCTGCAGAGGATGCAATAATGCCTGTAGTGCCGGCGAAAGTAGTGAATTGCAACCCTAGATTAGGCTCTTCCTTTGCCTATTCTTGAACCATCCAGATGGGTTCTTACACACACATACACACACCGAGACACACACACACACACACACACACACACACACACACAGAGAGAGAGAGAGAGAGAGAGAGAGAGAGAGAGAGAGAGAGAGAGAGAGAGAGANGAGAGAGAGAGAGAGAGAGAGAGAGAGAGAGAGAGAGAGAGAGAGAGAGAGAGACGAGGACCGCTGCTTGAACCCTGAATTACCTAGCAAATACAGCGGGCGACTCTGGCCGATCTGCACCTGACGAGTGGGTCAAAAAAACTGAACATTAGGAACCGGATGTGGACTGACGGCCTCCCCTTGCCCCTTCGTCCATGCCCACCATGTCCCCTTGAGTGTGTTGCCCTCCAGTGATGGCAGTTGCCCTTCTCTTAGCACGATCTGGACAAAGGCTTCTCTTAACTGTTTGGGCGTAATATCCAGGGATCAAACCATTCGCTGTTTTCCCCGCGTCTCCGTTGTGCCATGACGTCCGTCTTTAATAACCCCCTGACTTATTCTCATGCCTCGCACAAATGCAGGGGGTTCCTGTCGATGGTTCCCTGGCATCTGCTTTCCTTCTTTTTTTTTCATTAATTTGTACCATTTCTCCATTTACGCGTGCTTGCGCAGCGGCCATGCTAATCCTCTATATTGTTCCAATTATAACGGATGTCCCGAAGGACAGCCTGGCATCTGCTTTCAAAATGCATATTATCCGCCAACCATATTCACGCGGAGCGTCGGGTAGCATCCATGCTCAAACCTCGTCCAACTGCTCGGAATCTGAGTTCCCTTCCCAAAAAAAAAAAAAAAAAAGGAGTTCCCATCAGCATTGTGACGGGGATTACGGGAAGAGGGGAAGCACAACCCTTCGCCCGATCTGCGGTGGCCTAATGATCGCTCTTAGAAGGTAGAACTATGTGCCGCCATGGCTGCACCACCATCTCTATTATCCGCACGATCAAATCTTCGGGCAATCTCTCCCAGTAGGTTCCCTTGAAGATCCGGTGGAAGCGTTTGCAATTCTTTTGAATTTGTTGGAAATCCCTTTGCTTCGACTCTTGCAGCGATGATGTGCGCAGCCTCAAATGCTGAACGACTGAGTCAAAGCTAGAGTACACGCGCCGAGACACCCAGCCGTCATACAGATAAGCAAGGGAAGCAGCGACAGGCAGTAACCGCTCGAACTCAGATTTACCGCAGTAGGAAATAGAATCTCCATTCTCTTTTACGAAAGAAGCTTCGCGGAGATGATACAAGGGTTTCATCTCTTCGAGTCCTATGTTTGAGGTGGAGACGATGCTCTTAGCAAAACATTTTAGCTCGAACTCAGATTTACTGCAATCGGAAATACTAGAATCTCCCTGATTCTCTTTTACGAAAGAAGCTTGGGGGAGATGATGCAAGGATTTCATCAGTTCGTTTCCTATGTCACCGGTGGGGATGATGCCCTTGGAACAACAGTCTTTGTAGTACAAACGCACATCCTCATCCTCATCGAGCACCCCGCCATCTCCTAGCTTACAAAAGCGAGAAGAAGAAGAATCCGCTGACGTTGTGACTGTTGTTAGGCGCGTAGGGACATCACCGTGCGGCTTGTACCGTTCTTCGACGACATTGCCATCCAGAATCTTCACCAACGTGCGAGCTCCTGTGTCCTCATTATACCATTCATCAAGTACGTCATCAGACATCTCACCTGCACATATCGCAATGAGGGTGCCCTTCTGACGGTCCCTGACCTCCGCAGACCAGCCATCATGATTGGAGGGGTAGGTGGTTAGGATCATTCGCAGTGGGAAGTGCTCACCGTCGATTCCTACCAGATCAAAATCGATGAGGTGCACAATTGTATCAAATATATTGAAGTTGTCGATCGGCAAATAATCAAAGTCAGGAGCACCTGCTTTGCCAACGTCATACAGTTTCCTGGCTAGGGTTTCATCACACTCACGGGTGACATCTACTCCCGCCCGCCGGAACGCTCGGACCAACACCCGCATAGAATGCGAGAGCGCAAACTGCTGGATGCAGAGAGCCAAGTATTGACCGACGTGCAGATCTGTGTACGAACCTCGATAAGTACCCATCTTTCTGAAACGATCCCGAACGGCATCTTCTGATTCCTCTCCCTTCCTGAACAGGCCGAATTCAGTCATGAACTTACTAGCCACGTCCGCAGCATCATGGCAGTCGGCAATAATCGGCTCCAGCTTCCCGATGAGCGGACGCAGCTGACGTATAGTATCATCTTCAGCGTCGCAAAACTGGACGAACTCGTTAACGAAAGCTTCACGATTCCTCTTAAGGAGGTCGCCATTACCAGGCAGCAACAAGAAATGGCATATCTTAATAAAGGGAGGTGTCCAGACCACAGAACCTGCATCAAGGGTAGCCAGTTGGAGAGGAAGCACATGATATTTCTCAAACACGCTTCCGTGGAAAGCGGTACGGAAGTCAAGTAGTTGACCGGCCTCAGTGTGACCTTGTTCTTCTTCATCTTCAAGAGCCTCCGCCATGGGTTTTAGATTGCTTGCTTAGCTCTCTCTGACCGCTTGATTGGTTGGTTGGATTAACACCTGCAAGGGAAGAAGGTGATTGTTGTCTGCCAAAGACAGGACATGAGGCCTTCGAGGTTTGAACATACAATGCCGCAGAGTTCCTCAACCGTGAACTTCAATAACTCAACACATCCCTTCATATACACGTTGGCCGCTCATCAGCTGGAGACACGAGGAGGAGGATGAGGAGGAGGCGGATGTTGGGGTAGGGAGGAGGTAGGGAGGCCCTGGGAGGGAGTTGTTGACGTATATAAGAAAAGATGGAGATGGACGAGGACTATGCGATCGTAAAAAAAAAAAGCAAAAAGATCCGGGATCAAAGATCGCCCACCGTTGATGGGGGATCAAGGATCAAGGATCAAGGATCAAGGACCGCCAATCAAGGATCAAGGAYCGCCAATCAAGGATCAAGGACCGCCAATCAAGGATCAAGGACCGCCAATCAAGGATCAAGAACCMCCAATCAAGGATCAAGGATCAAGGATCAAGGACCGCCAATCCTTGATCTCCTATAGAGTAGAGGATCAGGGATCATCGTCTGTGGATGGTTGGGGTGAGTTGGAGGCGGGGAGGGGTCGACGAGGAGAAAAAAAAGAGGGAGATGGAGGAGGACTATGTGATCTTAAAGAAAGAGCGAGACGACCCCGGATCAGTGACCTGCCATCGATGATACGGAAACGAGGATTAAGGACAGCCAATCCTTGATTTGCTATAGAGGATCGGGGATGGAGGTCTGGGGATAGCCTTTCCTTCTCCATATAATTACCCCAATCCTCGATCCCCCACCCTCAATGACCGATCCCCTATTCTCAATGATATCCCATAGTACTCCATCTATCCTCGACCCCTTTACGCTCAATGACCGATTCCGTATCCTTGATGATATCCTATCCTACTCCATATAATTATCCCAATCCTCGATCCCCTGCCCTCAATTACCGATCCCCTACTCTCAATGATATCCCATCCTACTCCATATAACCGCAATTCTCGATCCCCTACCCTCAATGACCGATCCCCTATCCTTGATGGTATCCTATCCTACTCCATATAACCCCAATCGTCGATCCCCTACCCTCAATGACCGATCCACTATCCTCAATGATATCCTACTCCATATTACCCCAATCCTCGATCCCTTACGCTCAATGACCGATTCCCTATCCTCAATGATATCCTATCCTACTCCATATTGCCCCAAAATCCTCCATCCCCCCTACCCTCAATGACCGATCCCTTATCCTCAATGGCCGATCCCCTCAATTTATCACACGTACTATAAAACAAGAAAGATTGAAACCCCACCCGAACGGGTGAGTAATTGGTACATATCATGCATGACATTCAACAGATGAAGAAAAAACGACAATAAGTTCTGAATAACTACGAGGAGAGAAAGAGGAAAGGGGGTGGGGGAAGGGTTCGGGCAGTGCTATGGCTGACCAATGCTTCAGTCATAGAAAAGAGTCTTAACCCTACCGGTAGCCCCTCCCTTCCTTCCCTTCTCCGCCACGTCATCTTTCTCTCCTCTCGTTCGTCGTCCATCTCCTCCTCCTCTTTCTGCTTCCCTACCCTCCTTGCACAACAGATCAAAATGAAACGCAACAGAAAAAGATTGAATGACAAGGAAGACAGGAAGGGCGAAAGGGGAACTGCATGGCTGACAAATTCGTCAGCCTTAGCAGCCCCGAACCCTCCCCCCTCCCTTCTTCCTCTCCTCCCCACGTCATCTTTCTCTCCCTTTTCTCCTCCTCCTCCGTCTCCTCCTATCTCTACTTCCCTTTCCCCTACGAGCAACACATAAAGAAAAAACGGCAACAAAAAATTTTGATTGACGAGGCGGCGGCGACGAGGGAGGAATAGGGAAGGGTTCAGAGTGTGCTATGGCTGTCGGAAATGGGAGCTACAGCAGTCTGAGGCATCCTCCCCCCTCCCCTCCTCCCCTCCACTACTTCCTCCTCCATCTCCTCCTCCACATCATGCTTCTCTCCACTACTTCCTCCTCCATCTCCTCCCCCTCTTCGTACTTGACCCCTCGTCACGAACAACAGAAGAATTTTAAAACGATAACAGAAAAATACTAATGACTACAGTCTTCCCCCGAACATAACGCACCCTTAAAATGAATGTATACAAGTTGTATTTCCTGCCAGATACAGCCAAAATGAGGGTGCGTTGTGTTCGGGGGAAGACGGTAGGAGGAGAGCTAGGAGAGGGCTGAAGGGTTCGGTCCAGTTCGGACTGCTATGGCTGAGATGTTCTTGTCAGCCATAGCAGTCTGAACGCTTCCCCCTTCCATCTTTTTTCTCTCCCTCTCCACGTCATCTTTCCCTCCCCTCCTCCGTCTTTCCTCCCCCGTGTTCGTTGTACTCCTTCCCCTCCGTCTTCCCTATCGTTCTAGTTGTTGATGCCACGTCCATCTTAGATGGGCGTCATCAGATTAGGAGATAAGAAGAAGAAGACGGGGACGAGGAGGGTGAAAATGGGGAGAAGTCCTTGGAGTCTTCCATGACATCCAATTAAAGGATTGGAACGATAAAGAGAAGATTAGCATGACGTTTCCCTCCCTCTTCCCTCTAGTTCTACTTGTTGATGCTACGTCCATCTCGGATAGGCGTCATTAGATTAGGGGATAAGAAGACGAAGAGACATGCGGATTGGAACGATACAGAGAAAGAAGATTAGCATGGCCCCTGCGGAAGGATGACATGCATAAACGGAGCCCTGCTGACATCGTCTATGCCCTGCACAGGAGCTTACCGGGCACCAATAAATACGCCATTCAAAGAAAAGAAAAAAAAAAATAATTAAAAAAATGCCATAGTTGTGCAAGAAGGCTGACGGCTTACCGGTTTGAACCTGCAAGAAGGCTGACGGCTTACCGGTTTGAGCCTTCGTTGCATGCGTCGGCTGACGGCTGAATCCACCAGTGACATGCATAAATCAAGCCCTGCTGAGATCGTCTATGCCCTGGGGCTAGGTCCCACTTACACCAATTAAGCGATATTGACCGTAAAAAACAAAGATCAACGGCCAGATTCTCGTAATCCGTGCAAGTGGGACCTTGCCCCTGGACAGGAGCTTACCGGGCAAAAAAAAATATGCCATAGTTGTGCAAGAAGGCTGACGGCTTACCGGTTTGAACCTTCGTTGCACGCGTCGCTCCACTACACAAACAACACCCTACTTCGCATCCGAGACGGTGGAGTCGTTCCAATGCACCTGGTCGAGAACGAGTGTAGTGGAGCGAGGCCCATTTGTGCCATCGCATCCGCTACTTCGGGCGTCGCCACACGGCACACTATTCTTTTTTTTCTTTTTTTTTTATAAAGAAAATAAGGCTAATTCTTTAAGCCCAACCAATTCAATTACCTGCCGAATCTGGAGAGGACGGCCTTTCAGGCCTTTTTTTTTGTCATTATAGTATTACGGGGAACCCCCTAGCAGCCACATCCGTGCTCAAGCCTCCAACGAGGGAACATGCGGGAGCTGCACCCACCAGCAGGTGCGCTACCTGCTACAGCAGGTGGGCGATACCGGCCAGGGGTCAGCTGGTAGCATCAGGACCGAGCTTCTTCGATGGGCCAGTCACTGTGCCTCCCCTCCGGTCCCCTCCCCCTATGAACACCAGCAGTCTCTGCTGAATGCCACTCGGGGGGACCAACGGCATATCTCTAGGTGGCGCGCGCCAAGCTTGCCCAGGAAGATTGAGAGAAGAATGTAGCTTTATAAACCACTAGTACCTTTCCCGCGTGGGAAAATAGGGAAAACTGGCTACTCCTGAAAATTTGGAGGCCGGCTGTTCCTTTCCCGAGGACAGCTGCCATTGATAAATCTGATCGGCCGGCTGTCGTTTTGTTTGTCGTCGGGCCCAGCCGTGGGAAAAGAGAAAAAACTCG